AAAGACAAGTAAATTAAAAACACAGTCTTACCTATATACAATATATATCATCAGGCAGGGGGACCCCATGCCAGGCTTGTTCCTCTAAATATAGAGGGAAAAACAGAAGTCCAAGAGATTCCTGCACTACTCTTTCAATTGGGTCATTGGTGCTAAAGCCATTGCTTTAGCCACATACACTTATGTATTGAGTGGAGAATCTGGCCATTGCCAGAACTCCACCATATATACTACAAAAGATCACTGGGCCACTGCCGCTTCAACCTTCGAGGAGTATTGTAGGATTGAGTGGAACTAGACAGGGATTGTGCAAGAGTATTTGTAAGGTTCCGATAGAATTTGGAAAAATTTTCAGGAATAAGGTCTAGAAATATTGGAGTATTAAGGTCATGATGTAGGGTTTTGTTGGTTACGCAGAACTGTTTGGAGGACTTAGGACTGAAAGGATTGGATGCGTTTGGTGTTAGAAAATTTTGCTGTCCCCCAAAGTTCAAGTCCTTAGGTCCAAATAGGTTTCTAAATCGTCTTGTAGGTCAGTAATTTGTAGTCAATTGAAAGTTGAGATTTTATAGTCAATAGTCTGTCTAATTGACCATATCGTCTGTTATGTTCTTGTATTTTAAGTCTGGTATGTGGGTTCCCGTTAGTCTTTGGTCTAAGAGAAAGACAAGATACCGGACTGTATCTGAAAAAGGAAGCTGGAAGAAATTAAAGTGGACTGGTGGACAGGATCTGCGGCGGAGCATGAAGATAATGTGTTGGATTGGTTTACTTTGAAGCGTCATTTATTAGACCAGTGCTCAATCAGGCAGAGGTGTCTTAGTTGCATTAATTAATTGTTTCTTAAATATTGTACATAGTTAACAGCGTGTGACAGGTATTTTTTCATTTTATTTATTTTTTTTCCAGTATTTTCTTTTTTTTTTAATTTTACTATTGTATATGTGTCTTCTTAATACCGACATCTATTTATTTATTTATTTTTATTATTTTAATTTATATATTGTCTTTTTATTTTATTTATGTTTTTCAATTTATATTTTATTTTGTATTTAAATAATATGAATGTACACATAGAGCTGCAGTAACCAATGCCCTTGATTGTGACAGATCGAACTATTATTCTTTCAATTAAAATGTGGTAATCTGTAAAAATAAAGATATTGTTGTCTTGAATTTGTTGAAATATAATTATGGTATATAAATAAAGAACATTTATGGTAACAACCTGCAAAATTACTGAAAATTTGAATAAAATCTAATTAAACATAGTAGGTTATTTGAACAGTTTGAAAATTTTGGATTCTGAATTATTTTAACTTGGCTCGAATTTGAAAGACTGAAAGCTAGCATATTCTAAATCTGATATTTTGGGTATTTTAGGAGAGTGTAAATTAGTTCATATTTTGTATTGCAATTTAATTGTCTAAATCATATTGTTTTAAAAAGAACATATTATTTTATTGTTATAACGTAAACAAGTTTTTGGATGATTTGATAAATGAGTTAAAACATTTATTTTGAATTATATTTTAAAAATATAATACATATCTTCCTCACCTGGTCACCATCATTGAGGCTGTCACCCTGTTTTTTTATACCCTCATAGAATCTACCGAGCTCAGATCTCATTTCATTAAAGCGAACTATATATTTGGGTCTTGATAGTATATAAATATTCAGTAGAGAAGGCGATGAGAAAAAGTATTTGTGTGCATATCTTTAGACGAATCTTTGGGTTACTTTACAGTGATAATAGAAAAAAGAAAACTGTCTCTAATTAATTAAGGTTTACTTAATCATCACTTGATTCATTCTTGACTGAACTCACTGTCTATTCTTAAATCGCCGATCAATTAACAGAACACTGTAGCTTCTATTCCTACTACTTCTTATAATTAAAAAACTATAAATTATATAAAGAAATATAAATGATTTTTTCCTTAAAACTACTACAATACAAATTAAGTATTTCAACTCCTAACAGCTGAAATCTGATTCTGATTTAATTTTATATTAGTAATAAAATATTTTTTTTTTCAAAATTTAATTTTCTAGAATAGTCGATAGAACCATTTTATCGAGTTTTAGATACTATTACCCTCTGATGTCCAATTGTGGAATGCACATTTCTTAGAAAACGAAATGTGTTTCACTGCGTGGTGTGGTTTTAACGTTATGTAAACTACATACCTTCGTCTTCCAAACACGAGTATTCTGAGAAAATTAAAATTTAGAGTTATTCAGTATAAATTAGGAGTTATTGCATGCTAGGACTCTCACACAAATTTCTAATATATCGACTGTTAAATAATATATATTTCTAAGCATGTTTCAGTTCTAATAATAAAGAGAAATATTTAAGATGATAAGCTATGCAAAAGCATTCTTTTTAAATTTTTAAAAAATTAAAAATGAATTTTTGTTATTAATTTCTTACAATAGATCTCAGGTCATAGAACAAAAAGAATTTAATTGTTTTGTTTGTTTGTTGGGATTTCAAAACCGTTAAACATCCAGTTCATCAACGCCTGCAAATTAATCCTGTTTATCTTTATATTAAATTTTTAAATAATTTTAAATTTTATTTAACAAATTTGATTTAAGGAAATCTAACACTAACTTTATAGTATCTTCGTCATCACTTAAAATGTTTGATATTGGAGGTGTAAGTCCTAGACTATTTAGATTTGATATACTTCATTGGAGCACAAAATGTACTGTACTGGAGTCTTTCTGAACGTTGAACAGGCGATTTGACTGATGTACAAACTCTGTTAATTCCTACCACCTACATACTTCCTCGTTATCCGTTCGTACCTTGCTGATCGATATTTCAAAGTAAATCATAATAATGCATGTTCATCCCTCTTTTCCCAGTCTGCTGGTGTTCCTCAAGGGAGCATCCTGGGCCCTATTCTTTATACAGTTTATACAGCTGATATCCCAACCCATCCCAACACGGTCATCACCACCTATGCAGATGACACTTGTATCCTATCTGTTAATAATGACCCTTTAATTTCATCCCAAACCCTCCAATCACATATCACAAACCTTGAAGAATGGTGTCATAACTGGACAATAAAAATAAATTCCAATAAAGCCCATCAAATACCCTTTACCCTTAACAAATAACCTACAACTTCTTGTTCTACAATATCCTTCAATGATATTACACTTGTTTCTGTTGAACAAACCCGCTTTAACAAACCTGGAACTCCATTTGGATAGACGTCTCACTTTGAATCGTCATACCAGACTGAAGCGACAAGAAACCGCTCGACGTTTTCGACTGCTCCAACACTTACTGGACAAACGCTCTAAACTTTCAATTAATTACAAAAGACTCATCTACTTAACCATAATTTTACCTATATGGACATATGGAGTTGAGCTTTGGGGCTCTACCAAACCATCGAATTTCTATCGTATCCATTCCTTACAATCCAAAATCCTTCGTAGAATCCTTAATGCCCCATATTTTGTCACAAATAAAACAATTCATAAAGATCTTAATGTCCCACATGTCGCTGATTTAGACCGAGCCAGATACCTATCCTTTCATGATAAACTCCAGTCCCATCCGATCCACTTGTTTCCAGCCTTGCTTCTTTCTCGATTCCTGATAGGCGTCTGAAAAGAAGATGGCCTCGTGATCTTCTTACCTAGAATTAAATAGGGAGTGCGACCACTGGGCAGTATCTCTTCAAGTCAGTTCATGTCATGATTTCTAATGTGTGCATTTTTACTATTTATATTGTTTATACAGTTGTATATTTCATTAAATAAATAAAACAAAAAATTGATGCAAAAACAACATCCCTGTAACATGTGGCTGACTGTAAGTGTATTATTGCAGTGTTGACATTGTGGTGGTGGCTGCTTGCTAATGAGATGTGAATGGGTAAGGTTGGTGTGGCATATTCTCAGTCTGGTTAAGATGTTCTTCTCTGCGGATAAGGCGATTCGATGTTGACCACGGCTTTACTCTTTTTTTTAATATATTTTAATTTCCTTGGCTGACTCTCATTCCATATAGATTGCCAGCTATGATTTTTTTTTTTTTTTAGAGGAAGATTTATATCTTGTGTTGTTAAAATGGCACCAACCCGGCCTGGGAGTCTAAGCGCTTGTTTCGCTGCTACATCCGCGAGCTCATTTCCAACGAAAAGAACTTAATGGTTTTTAATATATTTATTTTATACATTTATTATCGAGATTACTCTAGCTAAACCACAGCTAGTGGTTGTAGAACTATGGAGACAGATATCTTATTCCGTAACAAACTTCAACTTAATTAATAATGTGAACTTAAAGCTTCTTAAATAAGGAAGTTTCCTTGAAAGTGAGGTACGTTTATTCGATTTAGAAGATGAAAAAAAAATTAATGAAAAACAGAAAGTATTGTGGTTCAGCCACACAAACGTATAATTTAAAAGATTTTAACAAAGAAATAATGATTTAAAAAAAAAAGGTTTCTAGTTTACTATGAAACAATTTTTTATTAATTAAATTGTATTTATTTTTTTGTTATCGTTTTCTATTATACTATAAAACAATACATGAAATTTAAAAAAAGACTAACCTTAAATTTCCTATTTTTCTGAAGAAAATTAGACCATTGTTTTTATGATTTTTTTTTTGAGCTCTTGAGGTATGCTTTCAACACTTTAAACATTTCCATCTACTTACAGGACACCCTGTTTAATTAATGACACACATGATTCGGAACTTAAAAAATAAAAAGCCTGTATTTTTATTAAACATTTTAATTATAATATTAAAAAAATTACATTTTTCATTTGTACAATATTACCTTAAGTGAAATGATATGATATAATATTCAGGTTTATATATTGTCAGATTACATCATTGTAATATAGTTATCTTAAAAAAAAATCTACTTACATATTATGTCAATTTCCTAAATACAACTAAGCAAGTTAACTATTTATTTATTGATTATTTATATGACTGTTAGATTACTAGGTATATAACTATTCTTCTGTTTTTTGGCAAAACCTCATTTTGGATTGTCAATCACGAAGATCGCTCATTTTGCTGAATGTCATGAAAGCCCTGATTGTGTTCACTACAAACTTAATAAATACAAATAAATAGATAATAAATGATAATATATGCATAGTAAAAAATATTCAAATCTATTATTATATAGGTTCATAAATAAATTAAAATAGAGGCTAGTTTAATTTTGGCTGCATTAATCTGACGACTAAAGGACTTAAAAAAGAACTATAATTAAAACATGAATCTTTTTATCAGATAATTCATAGAATTAAGGTAATTTTCAGAATGTATGCAACATTGCAGTATATAGTCACAGTATTATGTTTATTTTGGTAAATTGAAGATTGAAAATGATTTTTAATTATACTGGTAAATTTAAATTAAATTACTTATTTATATAATTAAAGCAATTTAAAAAACTTGTTTCAGATAAAAAAAAATTCTAGCTTAGCAAAGAATATATGTATATATACATACAATTAGCTGAAGACAAATTTTTCTACCGTTCTTCATCTAGGTACAGTTTCTTTAATTCTTAAATCACTTTATTTACTTGAATAGAAGTGATTTAAGAATTATTACTAAAAATAAGAATTATTAACGGAAATTACTTTTTGTTAGGAAAGCAAATTTTTGCCATATTGTTTCAAGTTAACAGCAGATGTGTGTTTTATTTGCCTAAATGTCCAACTATAGACTAAGAACTACATACAACGAAGTAGGTGATGGAATAAGAGGTATTTGAAAGAATCGGTGAAGAGGATGGACGTATGCAGGAAGGTAAAGAATTCCGAAAGAGGTTAGTACGAATGACGAAGGATTTGCTCAATGAAGCAGTTGTATGCAAAGGGATATATATCAACCTATATTTTGAGATCTGGTATTAAAAGAGTGGATAGAGCAGCGTGGAGTAAGGAGTTCTAGGATGTGTGAAGATTTTTTGGTTCTGAGGACTTGGTAAAAAAAAATACCAAGAAGAAATACTTTACAGCGATTCCTTCTTGGATAAAGCCAAATTAACTCGGTGGATCAGCAGGAAACATGAGATCGCCTGGGAATCCCAATGATGTATCATATGAAGCGATTCATCAGTCTCTTCAGTCTTATCTTCAGCGTGCAGATAGCCCCCCGTACACCAAGCTACCTTAGTCGAAATGAGGGAAATCAAGTGAGGTTATAAGGAGTTGTCTGATTTTTAGAGTAATACAATCACGAAATTTTACTAGTAGTTTAAGGACAGGTATGAATTTTCGTGAAATCTGAAAGATATGGTTATTCCAGGAAAGTTTCCGGTCAAAGGTTACCACTAGGGTTTTGACTATAGCAAGGAAATGGATGGGGTGGTTATAGAAGTACAGTAGAGGAAAGTAAGGAAAGAAACTAATGAGATTTCTGAGCCTTATTTTTATCTGCATTTAGTTTTAACTCATTTATTTCTGCCCATCTGTTGATAAAGTCGATATCTCCTTATAGTTTACGGACAGCCTCAGGCATCTCAGAAGATAAGAATTATAGGTAAATTTGATAATTTACGCATATAACTGGTAGTTTGTTGAGTATTTCGATCCATTTTCTTGGGAGTGGTTTTAAGACATTTTATATCATTTCATAAAAATTATTTGTGGACTGTTTAAAGTTGAAGAAAAAAAAATTGCACAAAAATATTTGTAAACCTACATTTGCACATTGGAAATATTTCTTGACCAAAGGTTAACCAGATCCATCAGGTTTTCCCAGAAATTGCAGAAGGGTTAACCCCAAACCAATGATACTGAGGCTGGGAATACCCCACGAAGATCTCCGGAACCCAGAATCGATTGACGTCAATACTAAAACCAGGTATTCACAGTACTATACTACTTTTACTACTTTTATACATATATTAATAATAAAGTTAAAATTGTTTTTAAAAATAGAATTTATGGCCAAGTTGTGAAAAATAAAATGTATTTACAAAATCAACTTTCCTACATCACTCTTTTGTTGTGGATACTTCTGTCTGGTATCAGTAAAAAAAATTAAGTTAAAAAAAACATCCGAAACCATTTAATTTAAAAGTTTTGTAGATTTCGTCAAAAAGTCGATCTGAAAAATGACTTTTGTTCTTAGCTCCCTAAACGAACGACACATTATGGACAAGTACTCATTTATCATAAATAATAATTCAAATCTAAGCCAAATTTCGTTTATTTCTCATATAACATTATTTTGTTTTCTTAAACAAAAATAAATAAAAGTTAAACTTTTTTATCATAATCCTAACTTTATAGAAAAATTTTCCTTCAAAGTTTTAACCCTTAGATGAAACGACTTTAAAATATTTAATTTCTTTTTTTTTTTATCTTAAAATCTTCATCCGCACATGTCATGGTAGTGACAATTACCAGATTTATTGTTATGTTAGAAAATGACAATTTTCTTCCTTCTTCGTTTTGGTTTTCTTTCTTGAATCAGGAAAGGATGTCTCTCATCTAGCTCCTTTTCAATCGCCTCCTGATGACTATGTCAATTGTTCCATGTTGCTTATAAGTGCATTGTTATCTCCGTATAGTTTACTATTAAATCGGAAGTAAAGAGTACATATGTTTATAGTTATATGGATAGTTGGTTATAGTAAGTCAGTATGTAAAGTATTGTTGTTTACGTACTAGAGAACTGATATTATTAATCTTAAAATTTTGGATAGGAAAGATTATAGTCTTTGTAAGTGCGTCTTTTCGCTGAACCGAAAATCTGTTAGGCGTAAGGGTACATATGGGTTTGAGTTTGTATGAGTAAGTATTTAATTTTTTTCTGATTTTTAACTTTACTAGAGCACGGGGTAACTGAGTGGGTGGGATGAGCCCTGACTTGCAGAGCTCAAGTTTCCAGGTTTAAATCCAGCTGATGATTAGTAATTTTTCATTACTTGTGGATCGGGAGATACTCCTGGAACACAGACAGTGTCTATGAATCCCAATCCATAAAGTGGGGATACTCTTAATTAAATAATTAATTAAGAAAAAAACCTTTTCTTTTAAATTATCCATCTTCTTCTTAATCATCCTCCTTAATCCAGGACTGCTAAGCCTCCCGATTCCGAACCAGCGCTTTCATTGAATTGATAGGCATTCCCTTTTTTCAACAATCCTGGAGATGTGGTCGATGCATAGCAATCTAGATCGAGAATAGCTTCCGTAGGCGAGACCTCAAAAAACTTGTTTGGATCATGGTCCTCACCCATTCTGCATAGATAAACAAACCATCCCAACTGCCTCTTTTCGACCATTTCCCTCAAAGCTGACACTCCTACGTCTTCTCGTATCTTTACATTCCTAACTCTGCCCCTCCTTGTTTTGCCTGCTGTTCTCCGGAGGTACTTCATTTCTGCAGCAGCAGCTCTACTCCAGTGCCTGTCCAGCGGGACCCAGCTCTCACTTCCATAAATGAGGATAGGTAAGTATATTGACTTAAAGATGTGTAATCTTACACTTTTTTCCAATTCCCTTTTCTCCACCACTGTGCTGCAAAGCTGTCAATAATCTAGGGGTATTAAATTTGACTAAATACTGAAAATACTCGATATTTATCAAAAATATTTACAAAACTGTATTTTTTTTTCTTACCGTGACAAATGATTGTTTATTAAGTAGGAATGTAGGAGCTTTGAACGCAGTCACTTCAATCGGTCTGTTGGCGATCTTCAAGACTAGCCTAATGATTTCGGCGTTGTTTTCATCCACTTCATTCCAAGGTGTGTTGTAAATTTCATCTGCTACCCTTTCAGCCTAAATTAATAGGTTATAAAAATAGCATTTAAAAATATAGTTACTGAAAAAGTAGGAATATATTAAGTAAATGCAAAATAATATTATGAGATGGAAGAATAAAGTTCCATTCATAATAATTGATCTAAACTTCAATACAGATTACAATCGGCTTTATCTTTGCAAAAAACGTCCGATTTGTATGATTTCTCCTACCATTTTATAGAGAACATGAGATTCTAATAAATATAAAGTGTATATTTTTTGAGTTATGTGTTAATAATTTTCATTTTGAAAAATTCTTTAAAATAACTTCAACTGTATATAAATCAATAAGCTGCAATTCAATGAATACATAACGATGATTCATTTTAGGAATAATTTTAATTCAACTAATAAGGAAAAAGCAACCAATTTCCCTGCTTTATTAGGACTCAATATATAATGTATGTGTATATATTTATATATAATTATTTTATTTTTTTAAATGTTATTATTACAAGGAATTATACACACAAGCCATAGTTCATGGAGTGAGATAGCTATTTCCTCGTTTCACAGAGACGTCGTTAAGATGTCATCTATGAAGCTAAAGTTTGTTCTTTATTTTCAGAGTACTGCATTCTATGTAAAGTTCATCAGTAATAATAATAATGAGGCCAAATATATACTGTTTTGGAATTCGGGCAGACTATATAGTGCCCCCAATACTGAACGGTTGTGCGGGTTTTGAAACGCCTTCTACGTATACCTACCTACATATGTAGGTACTCTTTTCTGATTGCATTCAAGTTTTCTATTATATCGCTACTGTTAGTGCAAAAGATTTTGTGTAACAATTTTATTTATTTATTCTATTTGTACTAGAAGAGACATTTCTTATTCTGAGACAGCAACAAACAATTTGCTACTATCGGAATTAGCAGAAAGAAAATAAAATATGAAATTATACCAACAAACCATAAAGACTTAATATTTTTATTCACTGCTGAAAAAAATAACGCAATTTTTACATAAGACCTTTTGCACTAACAGTAGCGATATACTGTACTTTCTACTATTATTATCAATTAGCTTACTGATTGAATAATAAAACCCAAATTATCGTTTAAAATATACCTCAATGCTTAATTCTTCTGCAGATGAACATTGCATATAAAGCTGAAAAATATTTACGGCACAGAACATTGCAGTTCCTATACGTTGAACAGAGCTGTCTCTATCGTTCTGAAAATATATAATTCATATAATATATATTTTTTAAAAATAAATATTTAATTATTCTCAGTATGGAACTTACCTTTATTTGTGTAAATAGGCCAAAAACCACAATACAGATGAGGTTGACATGATATACAATAATAATTGGGGTGTACAATATTATAAGGTCTTGTATATTCCTGAAAATTAAACAGTTTTATTTAAAAATTATCAGAAAATTAATTCTTAAAATACTTAATTTTGGAATATTATTACCTAACACTTCATTATTATAGAATTATTAATATTTATTTAATGAACCAAATTATTAGTGAACCAAAAAAAAGCAGAATGAATGATTATTTATTGTATTTATTTTGGTATTCTGTGATTCTCCTATTAATCCTAAATTGTTCATCCTAGTAATAAAGTTTACGATAGAAAATTAAATCATGCATCAAATGAGTACCTGTTAATTATTTGGTTAATTATTGGTAGTGGTCTATAATTTTTATTTATTTTTTGTTTTTTGGTCAGTGGTAACGATTATTTTTCCAACTGTGCTAAAAATGTGTCAAATAATTTTTGATAGATAAAATTCTTTAGGTTTAATAAATTTTGATAAGAGGGTTTCATAATCACTTCAGTCCATTTTTGTAAATTTTACAGGACTTTTCGGAAAATAAATTAATATAATTGTTTTTTTTATTTTGAGGAATGACATTAAAAACTAATTATTAATGTTTGAGAAGATATTATTTTCCTTTCTAATGAGATATGTGTAGACAGGAAGATGGGTTTGACAAATGATATAAAGTAATAAAATATTTTATAAACAAAGAAAAGATTAAATAAAATATTAACAACGATTTATTTTATTTTAATATCAGTGTATTTTAATAGATATTTTATAATATTGTTGTAGGCAACGTAACTGGGGTCAGAATACCAACGTGTTTCACTTTGTTATTTGTTATATTCGAAAACCAAATGACTAACATACTGATATATAAATAGTTTTTACTGTAAATATATTATTTATCTTTGTTATTAAGGTTTTATTTTAAATATTTGCGTTTTTATTACTTTAACACGTAGTATATTTTCAATACATTTTTAACATATATTAGTGGTAAAATAGCTAGCAAGATCCCTGTAATTGTACAACACAAAATAAAGCATAAAAATACATAAATAGTTGAAACCCTCAAAATCATCATACAACATTTAATTATGGAGTAAGTTGTACTGATTATTTTAAATTTAAATTTTCCCAGTCTGCAGGTGTTCCTCAAGTTAGTATCCTAGGTCCTATTCTTTATACAGTTTATACAGCTGGCATCCCAACACTGCCATCACCACGTATGCTGATGACACATGCATCTTATCAGTTAATATGATCCATCCCTCACACATCAAAAACCTTAAAGAATGGTGTCAAAACTGGAGAATTAAAATAAACTTCAATAAATCCCCTCAAATTACCTTTACTCTTCGTCATAAACCTGTGACTTTCTGTCCTACAGTACTACACCTCACTTATCCCAGTTAAACAAATCCATTACCTAGGGTTACTCCTGGAAAAAGTGTAACTTGGAATCCTCATACCAAACTGAATCAACAAGAAACCGCTCGAAGTGACTTCAACACTTACTAGACAAACGCTCTTACCTTAAAATTAATTACAAAAGACTCATATACATGACTATAATGAGCCCTATTTGGACTTACGGTTTTGAGCTATAGGGCTTCCCCAAACCATTAAATTCCTCTCATATCCAATGCTTACAATCCAAAATCCTTCATAAAATCCTCAATGCTCCTTACTTTGCTGCAAATAAAACCATCCATAATGACCTTAATGTTCCTTATGTTTCAGATTTGCTCCAATACAGAAACCTATCCTTCCATAATAAACTTCATAGCCAACCCAACAATGTTGTTCCTGATTCCTGGATCTGGAATTTCTGATATCCCTCCAACGCGTCTGAAAAGATATCCCTGTGATCTCCTAATGTATAAATATTATTAGAGTGCTATCAGTTGGTAGTTTCTCAACGAGTTTTTCATGTCATTATATCCATTTGTATGAATTTAATAGATGTATTCGTTTATACACTTGTGAACATCCTAATAAATAATAATGTTAATATTATTTTTGATATCTTGGAATCAGCTAGTTTTTGAACTGAACATCTTATAAGATAATTTTTACAAATACCTTTCGGAATTCATTGGAATAATTATAGTTTGACTTACTTTATAATCTGTTGATGTATTTTTATCCAGGATATGAGTTTCTGTTTGATAAGTTGGTTGCTGTTTTTTTTAAACTTTTCTCCTTCACTTCTGATTGAAACAGACAGATATCTCAAGTATGTCCTATGTATCTTGAAGAGAGATAAGAAGAAGCAGTCGTTACCGAACTTCTTCATTACTGATATCACAAGACCCATCATGTGCAAGAAGAAAGTCATCTCGTACAATCCGGCCTGGCGGTCGTCGTAGGGGTAGAGTATCGGTAAGGGGAGGTTCGTCCTGTAGGACTGCTTGATGGCATCGACAACCGGAACTGGTGAGCAGTAGATGATCGGAGTCCAGAAGACGACGAAGAGGATCGTCTTGGTGAAGGACTCGTTGTTCTTAGCGACCTGGAGGAACATTTGGCGGAAGAACTCTTTGCTGTCCAAGTTACTTTTGAGGATGTTCTCGTTCAAGGAGTTCCAGTTGTCTGTGAACTTCTCCAGACGATTTTGATAAAAGAAGTAGAAGAGCGTGATGGATCCACCAGTAGCAAGGACAGAAGTCACTATACCCAGCGTGCACATGTCCTGCAACACAAAATGTCCGTTTATATTTACTTTTACCTTATACTTAGTTATTTACTTGAAGATACCGCCCATTCCATTTAACTGAAGAACTTAAACCTAGTAATCGCTGTAAATATTAGATGAGTCTCATCTGAACATATAACTTCGGTCAGTGGTTAAAAGCCGTGGCTTCCTATAAGAAAATTAAACAGGCGAAATTTGAAGGCTCATGAAACGGAAGAAAAAAAAGGCTGAATTTCTTTTATGATGTAGCGAATACGCCCCTAAAATATAACTTACCTTTACTGACAATGTATTCGGTTGCATTTTGAAAACTGACGACGTAAAATGCTTCAAGTTAGTTCGTTTTTTAAAGATTTTAAATCTGAATGTGATGTTCTCTAAGGAAATGTAAAAAAAAAAAAAAAAACCGAAATTTCCGAACTGTTTTTAGTTTTTTTGGACCTGATTCCGAAATTAAGCAATTTATTGAAATTATTGTCTTATGCAAAGGTAAATAAGATTTTTTTTTTTTTTTTTTTTTTTTTTTTTTTTTTTTTTTTTTTTTTTCCTACCCCCCAGGAATTTCTTGAATAAATTCAGTATGTATATAAATGTATATATACATAAATTTACAACTTTCCTTTTATTGCCCAAGGGCATTTTAAGTTAAGAGGGCTCTGCACGCTGTATGCGTTCTTTGCATCTGTGACCAGAGGCCTTTTATTATACCACTGGGCGTGGAGGGACCGCCCTGGAAATAAGATAAAATTTTCTATTAATCTTATACAAAATTTTCGATGTAGGACCAACGGGTGAGGAGTCAGAAAATATGCATTTCTGAAACAAATTCATAATAACCAATGTGAAAGAGCATTAAGTGGGATTAGGTTAGAGTAATAATTTATCTTTGATGAATTAAAAATGTTTCTGATTTGTCTTTTATTTTAGTAGCTATGAATACAAGTAATTTTTAGATCGAATTTAATGAAATCGATAGTTTTAAATAAAAGTTCCTTCCTAAGTAAATCCTTCATTTGAAAAGATGCTATGGAAAAAGTGCTAGTAGCAAAAGAACCGAAAAATGTATGGAAAATAAAAATTCGCTGATACTGAAACTTTTTAAAAATTAAAGATTTTTTCCGTTATAAGCCTTGTTGTGGATTGTTCCACTTTTAATGCCTTTTTTCGAACTATGCGATTATTTTAGTAATATTATTAATTAGCATTTCTGAAAAAAAAATTAAAATATACAACTGCTTGAATTATTGTCATGCAAACCTAAATATTATGATTGGGAACATTTAGCTGGGTCCTTTAAATACTAAGGATCAATTGACATAATGGAGTTTTTTATATCACATAATATTTTTATAATAAAATAATTCATACTTAAGTTCCAATTGAACTTTCGAAAAAAAAATCCAAGCTTTGGTAAAAATTGGAAGAAAAAAGTTTTATTTTATGATTGCTATGAAACTTCGTATTTGAGAGTTTTTAGAGGTTCTAAACACAAATTTTAACTCTGTTTCTCATTTAAAATGATCTGAGTCTACTTTGCTCCATCAGTAGGTTTTGATTGTTACAAAAATACAAATTTCCATGATTTCTTTTCTTTTTTTTTTAATGTAATTTAGTAATTTTCAAATAATCATTGATGCATATTAACAAAATATTGTAAACTTTTTTAGTTTTTTGTAAATAAAATTTATTTTCCTTCAGTACTTTATCCACTGAAATTTCAGGATGATGTGACTATGTCTCGTTACGTCTCCATGAAATTATCTTTCATTTGATACCTTATTTGTCAAAATCCAAAGTTTTTGTTATTTAAAAAAAAAAAATCAAGGTTACAATATTTTTTAAAAATTGAAGCAAAAAGTAAATAACATAGCAATTGTATCGCCTTACCTGAAAAGTGGGTACCAATATGATACTGCATGCAGAACACACAAACTGATACAAGCCGATTGTGAAGAGCAGGATATCGTACGCCGAATAGCAGAGGTGGGACCACCAAGATCGATGCTTTACCCAAGGTAGCCTTAATCCACTTCTTCTTAGCAGATTGATGAGGTTACTATATAAAAATAATAATATTATACTAATAACTATGATAAAATAATAACTATAAATAAGAACCATCACTACTCAAAACAAACAGTTTCTTGATCAAAGTCTGAAAGAAACTTACTTTTATTAAGAAAATTGTGAACGAGTTTTGATAAGTTACAAAATCAAAATGTTCTAACCCAGAACAAAGTGCTTTTAGGTCTAACAGGCAAAAGCAAGACCAGATTTTTACCCCTTCCCCCCGGAATGTAATAGAGATGTCCTGGGCCAATAACAAGAACGTCTATCTGCCATTCTTGGTCCTGAAGGCGTCATCCAAAAGCGAATTCGGTGCCCCGCAAAGAAGTTTAGAAGTCCTTAAGAGCAAAGAACATTCTTCATGGAATGGAGCAAAACTCCTAAATGGTATAAAATCGACTTAGCAAGAACAAAAATGTGTTTTGCGTCTAAAAGGACGGGAGTCGGGAATGTTTGACATGGAAAAGGGAGTGAAACAAGACGACTCTTTGAGCACTCTTCTGTTTATTATATACATGGATGAGATTGTCTTTTTGTGAAATGAGGAATTGAAGAGAAAGGGAATGATTATTAATTGCAAAAAAAGCGAAGTCCTCTAAGTTGGTATGTCTCAAGAGGATGTCTAGATTGTTTGTAGTGGAGAGTTGATGGAGGTGGTGGTAAATTTCACTTGGTACGGTGATCCGTAGATCTGGTAAAGTAGATTCGGTAATCTCAAGCAAAATCTCCAAGGCAAACTCCGTTTACTACCAGATCTGTAATTTAGTTATCAGAAAAAAAGGAAGTGGGACACGATTCAAAGTTTCACTTATTCAATCTTCCTAGCAGTACTTCTCTATGGAACGACGAGCTGGATGAGAGACTACTAAGCCGTGTCACTGCCTCGGAAATGAAGTTGCTCAGGGGAATTGTGGGAAAAATACGAAAGGGCTATACGCAGATTGAGGGTATTAGTGAAGAGCTGAAAGAAAGGCAACTTAGGTGGTATGGGCATGTTTGCCGAATGGAAATCTACAGAAATCCAAAATATGGTTGTGAGGCCGTTGGGAAAAAGACCAAGGTGATGTCCAATAACCTCCTATTTCTCCCACAGAACGATTAAAGAGTTGCAAAGGGAAGAGTCTGGAAGAAATGAGAAACCTTGCCAGAGACAGAAACTCATGACAATGGTGGTTAGAAGCACCCTCACGCTCACAGACAAATAGGAAAATAGATGGAAAAAGAAGGACTTGATTTTACTGTTGAATTTTTGTGTTTCATGCTTCTTTTTTTTTAACCACTCTTAACTCTTCAGAATTTTTTCATAATTAAAAGTTATTACTACTAATATTAGTATAAGATTATGGTTAACTGAACCTTATAAATTTAAGTAAAACAATTAATTTTCCAGTTGGGCAACCTAATTACTAATTAATTAAACCGGTATGTTAACATATTCATTATAGGATCCTTCACCAATTGTGTGTATATTGAATAGAATTTCTTGGTTATATTGTTTGTCTACCAATGGCGGATCAATAGGTCTAAAGTCTTCCCAATATATATATATATATATATATATATATATATATATATATATATATATATATATTTTTTTTTTTTTTTTAAATATCTTTTTATTGATAAATAATACATTTTGCCACATTTAAGGGTACTGAGTACTAAAGCTGAGTGAGGCACATTCATCAATATATATATATATATATATATATATATAGAGAGAGAGAGAGAGAGAGAGAGAGAGAAAGAGAGAGAGAGAGAGAGAGAGAGAGAGAGATAATTTGGTCCATATTTGTTTCTGTGAGTAATCTGGACTAAATACTGCAATCACAATATAACCCATATAAAATATTTCATGTAACCATGTGTCAGGAAAAAAATATAAACAATTTATCTCTGAATACACAGATAGTATATATCTGTGAATACACTGAATATATTCTTGAATACAAAACATTCTTCCTGTGATATGAAATCCTGAATTTGCTATACAAATTACTATTTGTATTTATATACAATATAGATGTATAATATAATATGTATTGTATTTTATATATAAAATAAAATATAGATGAAGGAAATGCAGCGGCAGTATTGATTTCAATTAGTCCCTCTTTTCCTTATCAATGTACTGCAATGGAATGATAAGGAAATCCCGTTAGGCTGATAGCGGTGTGCTTCAAAAGGTTTTGAAGAGAAAAAAAATAAAAACAAAAAAAAGTAATACAAAACATAAAAAAAAAATCGTGTACGAGAGAAACGGAATATTTCGCTCATTAACTGCAACAAAGCTAGAACTTGAAATTCACGATTTTTCAGAGAACATGTTTTAAATCGTAGAGCTTAGTTTCTAAAATATTATCCTATTGTGGAAATAAAAAAATATTGCTTTAAATATATTATAACAGTTTACAAAATATTTTTAAATATTTTTTTTTACTTTCACTTACCTATATATAAAATATATAGTAAGATAAAGTACTGCGACCGTGAACATTTTCAAATCTGAGTTTTCAACGGAAATACATGTTTTGAAGCCCCCTTAGTCGAAATAACCAAGTCCCCCAAAATAGCCTGTGGGTGTGTATGTGTTAAAAGTCTAGCTCAAAAACGAAAAGTCATACCAAAGTGAAATTTCATATTTATGGTTTTTATATGTTTGGGTGTTACAGCAATTTTTTCGTCAAAATCGGATAACCGAAAATGGCACTTTATACCATGAACTAACAAAATTTTTACCATTTTCTCGAAAACGGCTAAAACGATTTTGATTAAATTCATTACATCAGTGTAAAATTAAGATGTTTTAAATAAAATGCAGGTTTTATTCTGATTGATGTTCTCTAGTGGGGCTTAAATGGCTATTTTTCAATATTAGCTTCCTCTAAAGTACCTTTAATAATTTTAACGATTTAACATTATTCTATAATATAAAATACAGGTAAATATAAAATATGAAATAATTTAATAAACAACTGAAGGAGAAATAAGAGATCTTAACGAAAAATAGTTTTAATTCAGGAACCAAAGGAATACGAGCTCTCTCGAGTTCACCCGAGCTCGCTTGAAATATAAGAACCCGCTTCCAGACGTAACATGAGCTTAATATAATAAGGACTGCAACCATATTATGTAAATATGCATAAATACTATTGTTGATATTATTATATATTTAATCATATAGAATACAGCTATATAAATATTAAAATTTATAAAAATAAAAATACCCACAATGAAAAATAATTCAATATATCGTTTATAATATTTAATTTTACTTTCCATTTTTCTTAAAATACTTATTTCTGTTAAGAAGAGGGTGGTAAGTGAAAGTAGTGTGATACTGAAAATGATATTGACAAACAATAGATTCAAGCCTGAAATTATTTTCTCTCCTGTAACATGTTTAGCGTCACTTCCATTGAACTATTTTCGATACATTATCATCCCTTAGTTGTTGCCTGCATGTAATAGGAAATCTTAAAATAAAAAAAAATATACTAATACGCAAATATGAGCATGCATTGTTCAAGAGTATGCTATAAGGAGGAAAAATTAAGTATTTCGTCATTAACAACAACACTATTTTTAAATGCCACTTTCTTTAATTGTTGTCATAGACTTTTCCTGGAATCAATTATTCTTATCACTTCAACATCCACTCATTATCATGCTATCTATAAATAAAAATGAAAATGTGCGTAATTAAGCAATACATTGCTATGATAAATGATTTTATTTGTCACTTACTTTGAATGTATGATAGTGGAAATGTATGTGAAGTGATAATGGTAATTATTTCCTTGTAAAAACTCTATGACCATAGATTAAAATAAAAATAAATTAATACATAAAGAATAGTAGTTTTCTTGCTTTTTCAGGCATTGATGGAAGAGTCTTGTTGAAGACCTATCCACCTTGATCAAAACTAAGACAATCCTATAAATATTACTTCCATATATTATATGTGTTGTTGTTGATATTACCTCCTCGCTCCTCCCAACTAACAATTACCTAAAATTAGAATTATGGTTAATTATACCTATAGCATTATGAAGTGATAAATCCTCATATTCCTTCAACAACTTTAATAAAAGTTATTGAAAACATTAATATTATAAGGAATTGCAGTGGACATTGGGCAGTTAAAATAAAATGTTTTCTTCATATTTGAATGAATTTAAAATTATTTTAGACGATCCGAAGGTAATGAAATAATAATAAAGAATATTTTTTTTAATTTAATATATTTTTTTTAAGGTAGAAAACTATTTATTTATTGAATATTACAACATTCTGTCACTTGGGCATGAGTAATAGGGAGGTGGATCAGATTCACACTATATGCACAATCATTTTATTTTATTTATTGTATATACTTTTTGACTATTATATTTTTTTCATTTTGAATATTTAATAGTTGACCGTTGCATTATAAAGGAAGGAGATGGTCCTGGGTGGCGGTCATAAATAGGCTAAATACTGGTAAAACTATTTTTATTAAAAGCCGACGTTTCGACCCGACTTTGCAGGTCTTCTTCAGGGAGGTGTGTTCAGCTAGGAGACACTTAAAACACCAGTTCTAATGGTGTATTATTTCATCTAAATTATTGTTTGTATATTGCTTTTAAGTAAATAAATTCAAAAGTTTCTGGTTTTATTTGTTTACTGTAGCCGTTTAAATTTTTTTTCTGTTTTTCTATAGGAGTCTAACAATTTCACTGTGAGCTATTGTATGCATATACATAAATTACATCTACAAGGTCTGTTAGGTTAAATTAGTTTACTAGTTTACAATTAAGAAGATAAAAAAAACTTTTAAAATTGTCTTTATTATAAAAACTATTTGTCTAACCATTCTATATTTTTAATCAAACTAAGTTATATTTATATTGATTGGCACCTCTTGCTTATGTTCATTTCATTACTAGCCAATAGTCGCATTCCTGTAACCATGAGAAACAACGCAAATATTGATCACATCTGAAATATTTAGTCAGGAAATTATGTACATTATACAAACATAAATGTTACCTCCCTATGACTATGTTTACCTAACTTTTGTTATATGGAAAAGGACAATTGAGAAATCCTCTCCCCTCCCCACCGACTTTTTCACTTACCTACCAAATGTGTCAGTACTTGAAAGGAAAAGCACCTTCAGTGCTCAAACCACCAAGTTAGAGAAAATATTACAAATTTGTATAAAGGAATTATATAAATAATTTTTTTTTTAATTTTTAGTTTGTATAACTATTTACATATTTCATTTTTAATATGTTTACTGCAGTATTAGTTAAGATTCATGTACCGTCAATCACTATAGTTTATTGTTTATCATTATCGGTCGTATAATATTATATCTCTAATTGTATTCTTTAAAAATTTCAGCCCTGAAGGTTACCCACATGTTTAGGTTGAAACGTTGGTATGAATAAAAAATTTAAATAAGACTGTATCCTGAATATTTATCATCCAAAATCTTTTAAGTTGAAACATATATCTCTTTTTTTTCAAAATCGGTTTGTTCGAAGACTTTTTTACACCAATGTACGTCGAATACATTAATAAGGGGAGAAGTAATATAATGTAGACTTAAAATAAAATTTTGTGATTTCTGATTAATACATCTGTCGTGTGTACCTGTGAGTGGTCTGGAACCGAAGCGACATGATGGGCAGCCAATTAACAATATGACCCAAACTGGGACAGCTAGCCCTAATTATAAAAGCTCTCTACGACCAATTATTCATGGGATCAAGGTCCTAGAGTTGTTCTGATAAATTCATGAAGGCATTGGAAATACAGCCCGCTGGAAATTGTCCATAATTGATACATTTTGGCAGGCGATCCTCCGCCCCCATATGTGATCGGCGTCGCTTATTCAAAATTTAAAAAGACCCGGGGGGGGGCAATGAAATTTAAATTATATCAAATGGTGCCAATAATGATGCCATATATCCTCACTGTGTTGTAAGATCGGAAGTACACTGGTAACGAAAAGTAATACCGTTTACATCATCTTCTAATTGGGCTGTTGACACATTATAGATGCGTAATAGCTGATAGTTGGGGATACAGTACTGTTGTGACAGTCATCATGTTAGCGAAACTATAAGGAATTACCGATAGGTTTATTGGGAATAAACGGATATTGTGGTTGTCTGAACGTATTAACGCATCGCACGACATTAACGCTAGTAGATGTTTCCATGACTTCGAACAGACAAATATAATTATTTTTATTCTATTTCTTTGAATAATTGTTGTTATATATGTAGACATAGAGTAATGGAAGTTTTCCTCGTTATAAGTCAAACATTATATGTTAATTACTTTGTACGAACATAATTTTTTACTTTCGATGCGACTCTATTTTGCAAAGGTGTGCATTGGGTACAGTTGAGACATATTTTCTAGATAAGATTGGGACACTAGTAAATTTTTTGTTTTTGCTTTTAGATACCCAGAGTTTAACGCCAGTGACGCGGTTGAGAGAGAAGTGCAGAGATCTCCTGGAGTCATGCTTTTCCCTCCACAGAGTTCTCTCGCCTGGTTGTAAATAGTGTATATAGGTATGTATGTGTTATTTTTTATTTATTTATTTTTTAGGTTATTTTATACTTATTTACAGTATATATATTATTATCATTGTGCATAGAGTGTGAATGTGATCTCTGAACACTATTATAAATATCCTTTGAGACAGATAGTAATATTTTCAATAAACATAAAAAAAAAAAAAAAAAAAAAAAAAGATACCCAGAAAATGCCAGATAAATTCTGAATATTGATTCTTACACCAAGGTTTATGCCTTATGATTTATAAGTAGAGACCGGATCTTCTTGCAGGAAAAATCGGAAAAACGTTCAGCAAAATATAAAAATGTGCAAAATCGTGCAGTAAAAACCCAAAATGTGTAAAATTTGTTAAATTAACACCTAAAAAAGGTGCATAAATCATCCATTTTGTTTAATTTATAATATTAATACATCGAAATCCTGTCAGACCTTATGTTAAGCTTCTGAACTAAAATGTTGAGCCAAAAAAAAAAAATTAAATTAAATTCAACATTAAAATTTAAAACTTTAATTTACGATTAACCTAAATCTTAAAGTAACAGAAATTAAAAAAAAAATAAGGACTAACATAAATAATAGGAAATTTAATGATAATACAAAAAAAAGGTCTCAATAATTAACCTACAAATTATTAAAAAAATTTGTTTAAATTTCCCTTAAATTGGTTAATAATCTGGCGCATAAAAGGAATGAAGTAATGTACAAGAACTAAGAAAGAGTAAAGGTATGAAGGATAAGTATATATTATATATACAAAACCAATTGATTTCAGGTATTAAAATTAATTTTCAATGTTGTATTTAATTTAGTTTTTTTTTTGGCTCAATATTTTAATTCAGAAGCTCAAGGTTTG